GGCTGCTTCATAGGAGAAAGATGTGGCAGTCTGCTTCCATAAAGATCACAACCTTGGAAACACTATGGGGCAGTTCTACTCCGTCCTGTAGGGTCGCTATGAGTCAGAATTGACTCAGCGCAACAGGTTGGGTTTTGGTTTTTAACCTAGCAACAAGCAGAGCCACCAGGACAGGAACACATGGCCCTCGAGTGATGTCTGACTGTACTGGCGGTCCCCGGGTTATGCACAAGATCCATTCCTAAGTCTGTCTTTAAGTCAAATTTGTTGGTAAGTCAGAATAGGTACACAGGATTCAGATTTAGGATCAGTTAGTCGGATGTTTGTCTTAGTATATAGTATATATTTTACCTTTTTATGCATATAAAACACTTAAGAAACACTCCCAAACCACGCGATGTTTTCATGAGCGTCACAAAGTAGTGCGTGTAGTCGTTATTACGAACCGTTGCATTTAACTCAAAATTTTAATAGTAGGCTTTATGGCAGTCCGTTCTTAAGTACAAGTTGTCCAGAAGCCCGGCGTTCATCCTCGGGACTGCCTGTAATTCTATATGAAGTGCAGCATCGCTCCATGAGGGACCTGATGGCCGTATGCAGAAAGGCTTGCTAGTCTACATTCTAATCCCAAGTGAAATGCAGTCTCATTTACCTTTAGAGAAATGACCCCTGGAGCTCATGAATTCCCCAAACTCTGGCTGAAATATATGTTGATAAGGCTCAGTGAGGCTGAGTTTTCTGGGAGTCACTTTGCCCTTCTGGCTGCAGGATGGGCTGCGTATGCTCTTTGCTGGCACAGGCTTGATGAAAATAGCCAAATGCACTGGTCCGCTTTGCACAGTGGGTAGGGACGTGGAACTCTGATCTCTTGGTGCTTCTCCTGTGGATGTAGCCCTCTGTTGATTGATGTCAGGAAAGTCTCCCTGCTTGTTGCTGCTTTCCGGAAGTCTCTAGCGATTCTGCACTGTCCGTGCTGCTTTTTCTGCGGGCCTTAGAAGCTGTTTTCCAGCCCCTTGTAGCCAAAGTCCCCCTTCAGCGCCTTCTACTGCATTGTCAATTATCCAGCTGCCATACATTCATTCTCAGCCCCTCACAAAGGACACATAAGCCCTTACGTTGAAAACTCAGGTCATCCACTCACTGCTAGTGAAGACGTGCAGATTCCAGATAACTGTCTTCAGAAATCCAATGATTTGGGTAGCATCTTTTCCCACTGCCCAAAGGTCAGTGCAATGAAAAATAGTATCCCTGGTCCACAGCGCTGGTTAACCTTGCGTGTGTGTGTGTGTGTGTGTGTGTGTGTGTGGTCAATATATAGGTAGCAGAACATTTGCCATTTCTATAATCCCCACATGTACAGTTCAGTGATGTTAATCACGTTCATCACGTTGTTCAACGATCACCGTTAACCATTCCCAGATTTTCCCATCAGCGTAACCTTTTAACTGAAGAGAAAACTGAGATGAGAGGGCAGTGACTTGAGGTCACTTGATCCCTTAAATCAGTGCTCTTTTTAAGACTCTCTGAATCTATATATTGTATGATACCACTTATACGAAGTGTCTAGAATACGCAAATGTATAGAGACCAGAATTCACTGGTAGTCCCCAGGGGTGGGAGGGAAGGAGAGAGAGGAGTTATTGCTTAGGGGGCACTGAGCTTTTGTCAAGGGCTTTGGAAAAATTTGGAAACAGGTGAGGGTGATGGTTGCACAAGATGTTGGGCATAGTTAATGTCACTGAATTGTACATGTTAAAAATGTTGAAATGGCAAATGTTTTGTTATATATGTCTTTACCACAATAAAAAATATATATTTTTAGGTATTAGTTCTGCTCATTTAACCAAGACATTTAATTTCACAGGCCATAACAAGAAGGGTTCCAGTTTTATTCATGTCTAGATATTTGTGTTTAGTTTTCCTGAGATAATGCATTAATATTAACCTGATTTTTTATATAAGACATAATTGTTTTTTGAGAATACCTAAGGCTTAGCTTTTAAAATATATTATATTGGGTTCAGGCCACAATACATATCTTCTGGAGCATGGTGACCCCACTTACTACTTGGAATAGTCTCCTGAAAAAGCTTCCACACAACCTACTAGGTAGTTATAGGCCAAAGGAGTATTTTATACTTTCCTTAATTATATAGATTAATGATTATACTGTGCCCCTGGAATTTAGGGATACTGCTGACTGGTACTATAAAGGAGTTTCTAATTATAATATTAATATCATTGTGTTCACACAGGAATTTCTTTAAGCTCTATAGTCAATTCTAGTAAATCCCAGAAACTGTATTTGATTGTGGCTTTTTCTCACTGCGTTGCCTGACTCAGCCTCAGACTCTTTCTCACCATCATTGGTCCGGGTCGTCAGAGTTGGCAGTAAAGTTGAATTCTAATTTTCATCCAGACACATATGATACAATATATTTATTAGGATAAGATTGCTTCAAATATTAGAAAAAGATGTTCTAGTAGCTTCATATGTACTGAGTATTCATAACATGCTAAATGGAGAGAGACTCAGAAATGGCGTGGTCTAGTACTGTTGGAATAATAAGGTAGATCCTTGTGAATAGCATTTATCCTGATATAGTGAAAGAACTCTCGTTCTTTCCTTTGTAATGTCAGGAAATATGAAGTAAGCATTAGGGATGTAAAGAGACACAAATAGCTATTACCACTGAACAATGTTGGCACTGCCCTAAAGCTCTTTCCATTGCTTCTGACACTTTTCTTCCTCTTCCACCTTCAGAGTTTTGATTATTCATGCATGCAAACATTCATTCATTCATTTATTCATTCAATAAATGTTTATGGTTTTCTAGGCACTGTGCCAGCCAGGCCAGCATACAAACAAGAATAAAATCATAACATTCTTTTTTTTTCCAGTTAGGTTTCGTTAGTTTGTTTTGGGTTGGTTGTTTTTTTTTTCCCCCCCCTTCAAGATGCAAGCAACTGAAGGGAAAAAATTAAAGGATCAACTAAATAAGTTTTGGGGATGCCAGGAACGAGGATAAGTCCTAGGACTAGATGGCAGGAACTAAAGGACAGCCCCACCAAGGAATTGCTGCTGAAGTGAATCAGCTCTACCTCTTGTGATCATTCTACCCAACTAAAATCCTGGGCAGAGCTCCTGATTAGCCTGGCTCGGATCAGGGCCCACTCCTTGGCCATGGAAGGAAGGTGCTTTGATTGACAGACCCACCATTGGGGTCTGATTAGCTCCAATGTCTTACTACCAAACGAAGACAGAACAGACATTGCACAGGCAAAAAGAGCAGATACCTGCTACAGAGCAGGCAAAGTGGGGATGCCACTCATCATTCACTGAGGCTTCATTAGAGGTATGGTCAGGGTGTTGGGGGACACAGAGGTGAAGGAAATTGTCATGTTAGGATGTAGAGGAGGATGGAATTGGAAAGGTTGGCAGGGGCTAAATCATAAAGGTCTTTATGTGCTGTATTTGTGAGTTTGTGCTTGATCCTGAGGGTAATGGCTAAAAATTAAAGGATGTCATTGTAAAAAGTTATTTTAGAAAAATTACCCTACTGATGAGGTAGTGGATTGATTAGAAGGCAAGACTAGGAGCAAAAACACCAGTTAGAAGAAATGACAAGGACTGACTTAAAAGCAGCAGCAGTGGAGTTGGAAGAGGACAGATTCTAGAGAAACTGGGAGTCTAAAGGGTGTGGTGGCTGGTTGACTGTGAGACATGAAGGAGAATCAGGACTCTGCGTGACTTGCGGGTTTTTGGCTTGAACAACTGTGTGGTCACTAAGGTAGGAGATACAAAATAAGGTGTTCCACTTTTGACAGTGACTTTGATGATACCCTGGGACATCCAGGTGACGTTAGCTCAGGAGGCAATTGCGAATAAGGATTTAAAGGTCAACAGAGAGGTCAGGGCTGGAGATTTATCCATCATCAGTGTATATAGGTCATAGTTAAAGCCCTTGAAGTAGGCACAATTACCCAGGGAGAGAGAGTGGAGAGGGGGTAAGAGGGGCAAAGTTAGAGTCCTTGGGAATGAAGAAAAGGGCAGGAAAAAGAAGAGAGGATGTGAAAGAAAGGAGGAAACTCGTCTGCCTGTCTCTGACCTCTACCTACCCTTAAACTGTAAGCAGATTTAGTAAATCTGTAGAGATTCAAATAAACCTTTTTTGCTAAAAAGGATTAGCTTAAAAAAAGCATGTTCTTAGGACAGTACATTCTGGTACCATGGGGAACTCTTCAGTATGGGAGATTGAAAGAGTGTTTGATCGGTCACCAAAAGCTGAAATAAACCATCACTAGAAAGCTTAGAATTTGTTAAGAACTGAACTGGCAGAATTTTGTTCAGAGTGTGAGAATTAGAAATTCTTTGAGTGCATTTATGAGATGTGTACCTCTCTGCTGAGATAGTCACACAAATGTATTCAAATTTCTTTTTTGAGGTCCACCTAACATAGCTAAGTGTCACGTTTATTGTTCCTTTACTCTATCAATAAACACAATTGTCTTTACTCATTTGTACTATTAATCCTTCATCCCTAAATGGTTTATGTCAAAACAAATTTAGAAGATTTCCAAGCAATGAAGAAAAAACTGTAATTTCACTTAGGTCAAGAAAAGCAAGAAACATTTCTCTGAGGTACGACAGGACTACATTGCTTACTGTGAAGCACAAATGATAGACTTAATACATAATGTGCCTTCTTTTCAAATCAGAAACAAATTTCTGGTATAAAGCCAAGTGTGCCTGGCCATACTGATATTTAATATGTCAGAAAAGAATGACTTGGTGCTGGGGAGACCTCACTTTTATAGTCCGCATCTCATTTTTTTCAATTGCGTTTTTGACAATCTCAATTTTTTCCCTTCCAAATTTTAAAAACCACAAAATGTATGCTCATTAAGATTGGGGCAGTTTTTAATTAATTTATTAACAAATACATGTTGGGCGCCTGCCATATGCCACAGCTTGTCCTAGGAACTGGAGGTGCCATGTTGAATAGGACCAACGTGGCTCCTGCCCTCTTGACTTGCAACTCTGTAGGGAAGGCTGGACACACAGTACCGAAAATGAGGAATGGGGTGTGCCCCGACATTGGAGGTCCAAGAGCCATGGGAGCACACAACAAGAGGACCTATGGGTCAAAGAAGGTAACTGAGGAGAAGGGATGTTTAAGCTGAGACCTGAAGCTGAAGGCTGAGGGAGTGTGGCAGAAGTCTGAAAGACAAGGTGGAGGGAGTAGCAATGTGAGAAAGTCCAGATGCCGGAGAGAGTATAGACCTTGGTGCAAATGTCGGAGCAAGAAGTTTAAGATACCTGAAGTGCAACATCTAAGAGGAAGAGGTCTCTTGATGTCAATCCGTTTTTGTTTGTTTGTTTGTTTTGTTTTTGTTTTTTGTTTTTTGCAGCTTTGTTTATAAGTTTATGTTTTCCTCTTTAAAACACAAAATTTCTCAATTTCCAGCTTGGTCAAGACCTTCACCTTTCACACAGTGAAATGCTCCCTCCCTCAGCTGGAGTGTGCAGGGCGAGCCTGTGGTAGTGTATCTTCTTCCACAAATGTCCTGGTATTAGTCCTATAAACTCTGTTGAGGCTTCTCCAAGGCAGCACAGCATGACCGTTCTCCTTTGGAGATTTCTTATCTAAGAAACTTGAAAGAAACTGAGAAGCAAAGCTACAGGGCAATAGGTATTGAAAAAAGCAGTCAATAAATTATCTTGCCAGCATGGTAGATGACCTAAAAACAAATTTAACCTCACACACAGTACATCATGAAGTGTTGTGTAGGTGACTTCTAAGAAATGGTTTCTTGTCACTGGGTGATCAAATGGTTTTCTAAGGCTATTATGTAACTGCTCACCCCATGGTGAAATTACATTTCCTGAGTATTTTGTTTAGAAATAGAGCCCCTGAGGCAGAGAACTCAGAGATTAAACCCTTATCGTGTTTACCCAGATCAGTACTTAGAATTAAATGTGTCTAAAATAGCCATCTTAAAATTATTTAACTCTCCAGGAGGATGGTATTCTTCCAAGTTTACTGGCATAAAAGAGAGAATGAGAGGGCTATGAGATTCCTATAGGATTCCCTTGAGAAACTGGATCCACATGAATGCTCAGGGGGTCAAGTACCTAGGAAGCTGTATGTGAACCCACTTGGGAGTGCTGTTGAGAATAGAAAAAGCATTCTCTCTCACTGATAGAAAGTTGATGATGTCTTCATAAATCTTTGGAATGAATGAGTATGATTCAGCTCACTCCTCTCCTTGATGTTGATAACCCTTGATAGCAACATATAGGAATATCTGTTCCCGAAAACAACACAGGCTGTAAAAACTGTTTAATCAGTGCAGTTGTTTTCATGTACGTTCTCAGGGCCTCATGAGCATTTTTTTTGGAAGAGTATTGGTGGAGTGACTCTTTTTCCTCTCAGCTGCACTGTCATTAACCAATGGAAATTTTAGACAGCCTCTGTAACAATAACAGAAAATTCTCTTCAAGAAAATGTAATTTTAATTTGTGTGTGTATTATATTTAGCCTGTTTTCAAGCTCGACCTGCCATATTTCTTCCCCAGTGAGTGATGAGACAGCTGTCTAGGGAGATTTATTCTTTGTCATTTCCAGTAAGTATGCTGCCGCGGGGTGGGCACGTGATTTTCTCTTGTGAGGAGAGGTGCAACGAGGGAACTCATAGACAACAAAACTGCAGCCATAAAATCTAAAAAATAAACCATTGTCTAAGTATTGTGCCATTAAGCCTAAGGCCACAAACCATATTGTTCCAGATTGTTAAAGAGCTAATTGGTTCTTTGCAACTGAAATTTTCTTTCAGTAATTTCATCTTGACCTTAAACATCATAATTCTATAATATCATATTCTAGAAAAATTTAACAAACCTTGAAAATGGAGACCTTGGTCCACCTTTGTTTACTTGAATGTTTTTTAAAATAAGATATTTGACTCCTCCATGTTCCATGTTACAGAGTCCCAGAGCTGGCCCTGGGAGCTGAGTTAGACAAAGCCAAGGGTAGGGCTAGAGTTCCTGTGTGCAGGGCAGCCAGAGAAGCTTTGACCACCAGGCAGGCCAGAGTCTGTGAGAGGAAATATGGAAAGGTCCAAGGTCAAATGAAGTTCTGGTTACTGGAGATGGGATCAAAGTCTGGAAACCTGTGAGGCAGGACCCTGAGAGATGTCCTATTTAAGGCATATGCTGTCTTTTTCCACACTGCTATACACATCTTCCCAAAATACCAATCTGTCATTCTAATTAACCGGTTCCTGTCTAATCGACCTGATTCATGATGACCCCATGTGTGTCAAAGTAGAACTGTGCTCCATAGGGTTCTCAATGGCTGACTGTCATTTGCCACCTTGGAATCCTTCATGGGTCCTGTAATTTTCAGGTTAAAAATCCAAGACCTTTTTTGAGATCCTTAGCTTAGCATGGTGGGTCCTTTGTGAGTGAGTTTCTGTCTACGTCATTTCCTGTTGATCCCTTGGGTGCATTCATCACTCCACCACCCAGAACCTATTACTTCACCAAGTACATCATGCTGTTCCATAGCTCCATGTTCTTTCTGCTCCAATGTCCATCCTCCTTGAGTTATCTTCTAGCTAGTTCCTATTTAACCTTCTTGGGTTGGCTTGGTTCAAAAATCATCTCCCCTACACAATACCCTACACAAGCTTTGATCAAAGCATTGCCCACATTGTATTCTATTTCTTTATCATTTGTCTGTTTCCTCCACTTCTCTGTAGGCTTCCTGAGGACAGAGATCGGGGCTCAGTTTACATTTCAGTAGCTAGTAATGTGCTTAATTAATATTTGAATAAATATTGAATAAATGAATGAATGAACTACTTAAGAGTGTGAGTACCATAGAGGGGGAAAAGTGAGAGGGAAAAATTTAATTTTTTCATTCTTTAACTTTTGGTACACTGTTTTAAAATAGGAAGATAGGTAGATAGATGGATATATGTATATATAGAGACATTGTACTTTAATGGTTATTTCATTCATGTCAATTGTTCATCAGTAAATATGTATTGAACAACGGCTATGTGATAAACACTGTGCTTGGCACTAGAGAGAGAAAGTGATGTAGACACAGACCTGTCCCCTAAAACTCATCATTCTAGTGGGAATGAGTAGATGCTCAAGCAATAACCATTATAATACATTTTGATAAGTGCTATAGTCAGGCATGAACTAACTGTTGAACTTCAATGTTTTTTAACTGGCTTATTGAGGTATAATTTTACATACCATAAAATGTGCTTATTTAAAGTGTACATATCAATGATTTTTAGTATGTTTACAGAGTTGTGCATCTATAACCATATACTAATTTTAGACATTTTCCTCACCCCAAAAAGAAACCTTTTGCCCATTTGCAGTCACTCTTTCTTTCCACCCTCAGCCCTAGACAACTAGTAATCTAATTTCTGTCTCTATAGATTTGCCTTTTCTGAGTATTTCACATAAATGAAACAGTACATTATGTGATCTTTTCTGTCTGGGTTCTTTCACTTAGCATGATGTTTTTGAGGTTTATCCATCTTGTACCATGTATAACTACTTCATTCCTTTTTATACCAGATAGCATTCCGTTGCATGAATATGTCACATTTTGTTATCCCTTCACCAGTTGATAGACATTTGGATTATTTCCACTTTTTGGCTATTGTAAACTTTGGAATTCTGAAAGAATTCTTCTGATTGTGAGTTTGGCTTGTATTTTGCATTACTATCTATAAAATCTGTCTTTATTTTCTATTTGGTGACCAGACAGGGGCACAGTGTTTTTATTTGTGTTGTTAAAACAAAGCTAATTTTTTACCTGAAATTTCTAATTCCATTAACAAGTCTGAATTAAAGATAGTTCCGGCCAAGGGAGTGAGAGAGGGTGGGGGTGGAGTTTAACTTCTTAATGACTTAAAGCTATACGGCCATAGGAGGCTGCTGTATCAAGAGATTTTTCTGAAGCCGTCCTGTCATATTTTCTACATTCATTTAGCTCTGAAAGATGAGAAGAATTTCCTTTTAAGTCACTTGTTCTCATGAACTATTTGCTGTGTAGAAATGAACGAGTAGAAGGAACATCTTTATTCCTATAAAAGTGGACTTGTCAAAATGCTTGCCAATAAGAGTCACCATATGATTTGATAATTATTGTTTCCTTCTTTCCTGAGAAGCAAATTGCTGTCATTACCCACTGTCGTCAGTTAAATCAGCTATCATCTCAGTGTCTGTAGAACAGTTGAGGATCCCTCCTTTAGGGGAATAAAGTCAAAAATAAATAAATGTCCTTGTTTCCCAGAAAGTGTTTCTGCCTTTTGTGTGGTCCCCCACCCCCCACATGCCTAAGTCTCTCAGAGCACTTGGTACTTCCTGTAATTTGTGGGTTGTTTGTCACCCCCTAGACTGTAACCTTCTTGAAGATAGCAGCCAAGTCCTATTTGGCTAAGGCCATCATCTCTGGGGGTGCCCAACTTCAGATTTTGATAGGACCTTTAACAATTAACTTCAAAAGTTGTATGTGACCATTTTATTTCATTTTGTGGTCAAATGCATACCTATATTTCTTTAAATTAAAATTATAAAAGGGTAACTACTTCTTTAATCAATTTAGATGTCCATGAAGCATGCAGAGTCTGTCTTTTAAGTGTCTTTTGATGCAGCTGGTAAAAGAAGAATCTTACAAATTCCCTTGCATTTTAAAATCAGGGGAAGGATGGTTGGTTGACTTTAACATTTGCAAAAGCCTCTAGTTCCATCCTCTTGAAAATAACGAGGAGTCTTGAAGGTAGCCGAAATGCCTGTCAGATCTGAAAGGTCCATGGCAGACCCTGAACTCCTGCTTCATTGATGGAGTTGAGTGTCAAATCCACTTGGTGCCCATTTTGATATGGTGGCTGATTTGGCTTCCCCAGGCTAAGAAGTATTTAATTAATCTGTTCCTCTTTTGAATTAAGAGTTTATGTAACTTGACATTTTAAAGACTAAGCTTTGTCTTCCCCAGTGCCTGTCATTCTCTATAATACTCTAATTCACACTCCAGCAGCAGGTAACACTGACCCTCTCTGAGCACCTAACGTGTTCACGGAATAAAAATAAAGTCTTAAAACGGTGTGAACACATTTTATCACTTTGGACAAATGGCCAGTTAACTTAAATCTTCTCCTAACAACCAATGCTGAAGTTTCAGTGAAAAGAAAAGTTTTACCTACTCGAACTAATGCCATTTTACTGCACAAAGGACAACTCCTTCCAGGTGATAATCAGTTTTAGGGCTTGAAGTCTCAGAAGTGGTAAGCCTTATAATTATTGTAGTGAACATAACTGGTAGTTTTTATTCATGCAAAAGGAACTAATCAGTTTGCTGCAATAATATTCATCCCCTGTAGGTGCCACAGGTTAATTACACATTGCAGCTACAAGTACAGCAGCTCACTAATCATTTAATAGCCTCAAAATTCTCAAACCCAGTGGTTCTCATGGAGATCCTGGGAGTGTCTTAACTCTCTGAAGCTAAGTATCAGAGAACTTTCATCGCAGCTTATATTGTCATGATGTCATCGTCTTCCCATAAATATTGCATGCTCTGTTCTGTTTCATTCCCATCACCATTTTTTTCCTTCTGTATTTTCAACATTTCCTCATGAAGTGACTGAAGATCCCTGTCTTCCTATTCCAGTGCTATTTAAAGTGAGTGGTTTCCATGAGGAGACAAATACAGAAATGGAGAGTAAGCATTTACATAAGCAGTTTGACAATGTCTGCTAAATTTAATTATAAAAGTTAGGGGCTTGGATTGAAGTACTGATAACGTACTACAACATGGATGAACCTCCAAACATTATGCTAAATGAAAGAAGCCAGACTCAAAAGGTCACATACTGTATGATTTCATTTCTATGAAATCTCTGTAATATGTAAATCCATAGAGACAGAGAGCAGATAGATGTCAATGGGTTTGGTTAGTTTTTTTAGGTATGGTATTGGAGGAAGGAAGGGTTGGGGAGAAACTGCTTTTTAGGTAAGGAGTTTTACTTTGGAATGATGGAAATGTTTTGGAACTAGATAGAGGTGATGATCGCACAACATTGTGAGTATGCTAAATGCCACTCAATGGTTCGCTTTAAAATGGTTAATTTTATGTTGTATAGATTTCACCTCCAAAATTATCTTTTTAACTACCAAGAAAAGTTGGGGGCTTATATTTTGCACATCTTTGATTTTTAATTCATTTTTCTATTAATTAATTTTTTATTAATTAATTTTTACTACATTTTATAAAAGTATCAATCTGGGAAGAGTTAGTGGGAAAAAAAGCAGAACATATACAACAGATACTTGAAGCTGCTTGGTTGGTGGGAAGAATGGACATGTTCCCATATTTCCCGCCAAGAATATAGTTTATTATTTTTTGTGAAAGTTGGTGTTTTGAGTACTACACTCTTGTTTTCTTTTTCACCTCCAAAGGCCTATAATGTCTTTTGTCTAATATTAATCCAAGGAGTATATTGTGGAATAAAGACACACTTAGGTTTTGAATTCTAGTCTGTATCCACCAAAGTGCTCCTCCTGTATAAATGTCATCCCATCTCACATACAAAATCTCACAGATTATCTAAAATAATTTTCTGTTTTATTTCTGAGATTGTTTTTCATATCACTGGGTTTTTTCCCCTAATTTGGAGGTTGTTGGTTCTAAATATTGAATTATTTGCTGAATTCCAAAATGTGTTGATATTTTAGAATTTGGAATTGTTTTTTAACTTGGAATTAATTAATTTGAGATTTTTTTCCCCGAAAAGTCTAAACTAAGAACAAAGCCTTGAAAAATATTAAATCAAATAATAGTACTGCTAGTGATGTGAGTCTCATGAGTTTTTGTTTGTTCATTTTTTTTAATGGCTTTTTTGCTAATGGTGGAATTACACAACTTAAACAAGGAAAAGTCATGGAAGCTCCATAGACACATCCAAACTCCTTAAGGGACTGAGTTGCTGGGCGGAGGGCTGTGGACACCATGGTCTCGGGGAATATCTAGCTCAATTGACCTAACACAGTTTATAAAGGCAATGTTCTACATTCTACCTGGTGAGTAGCATCTGGGGTCTTAAAAGCCTGTGAGCAGCCATCTAAGATACTCCACTGGTCTCACCTGTTCGGGAGCAAGGGAGAATGAAGAAAACAAGATACAAGGAAAAGATTAGTCCAAAGGACTAATGGACCACAACTACCACGGCCTCTACCAGACTGAGTCCAGTATAACTAATGGTGCCTGGCTACCACCACTGACTGCTCTGACAGGGATCACAACAGAGGGTCCCGGACAGAGCTGGAGAAGGATGTAGAACAGAACTCTAACTCACAAAAAAAGACCAGACTTACTGGCCTGACAGAGACTGGAGAAATCCCGAGAGTATGGAACCCAGACACCCTTTTAGCTCAGTAATGAAGTCACTCCCAAAGTTCACCATTCAGCCAAAGATTAGACAGCCCCATAAAACAAAACGAGACTAATGGGGCACAACAGTCCAGGGACAAGGACTAGAAGACAGGAGGGGACAGAAGAGCTGGTAATAGGGTACCCAAGGTTGAGAAGGGACAGTGTTGACGTGTTGTGGTGTTTTTAACCATTGTCATAAAACAATATGTATACTAACTTTAATGAGAAATTATTTGTTTTGTAAACCTTCATCTAAAGTACAATAAAAAAAAAAGAACATTGTGATTATCATAAAATGCATCTGACAGTCATCTTTGGATCAGTGTTATTAGCTGCCTTGTATCATCTGAACAAACGAAGAACAACTGAGTACTCTCTGCTTTACTTCCATACATTTGCCCTGGCCGTTCTGCAGTTCGGTAGACACCGTGGATGATGTACCTATGTGGGCGTATCTGTGTTTACATGGGAAGGTGGGCAGGCTGAAGGAAATGTGCTTCCCGCACAACTTTTCCTACCCCTGATGTACGTGTGTTCTCTGCATAAAGTGAAGACCACTTAAAAAGCTTGCTGTGACACTTATTGTCACTCTGGGAATACACCTGGTTATTGGAAGCTTTGTCCTTCCTGTGCCCTTGTCCAAGGTTCTCTGGGATTTGTTGAGAGACCGCATCACACGGGAAGCATAAATTCTCGTGTCTATCAACCCGAGGGTGCAGCCCACAGCCAGAGGGCAAGCTCTGTGGGCTACAAAAGCAACAGCTCACTGTACAGCGTGCCATTCATTCTGCTTCCGATTGGTCCCAGGCTCATAAATATATATGAGGTTCATAATATTCCAGAAATACTCCTGGTACTATTTAAAATTTAGCTAGTTTAGCCTTATCTGAGGAAGCCTGATCCTCCCAATAGTAAAGGTGTTTCAGTTGGGACTGGACGCCCCCAGGAAGGAAGAGAAAGAGAAGACCAGAGGAGGGAGGGAGTAAGGATTTCCTTTTCTTTATTGTCCCATGCGTATAAGAAATATTAACTCAGCTTACTTAGAAATAAGTAAATCATCCTAGACCTGTGTTACCTCCTAATACATCACTGTCATTTACAGTTCAACATTCTGCTTTTCTCTTTTTTGAACAGTAGGAAAATTTGAAATAAACTTGACCATTATTCCCTATGTCAAGTAAAATGTTTATCCCGAGGATCAAATGATTATGTACATTGAGAAAGAAAATTAAACATTAATATTAAATTTGTGCATTGTCATATCTATTTCCCTCATGACAGGAAGAGAATAATTATATCATTACTAAATTATGACCTATTAAAGGACTTGGAAGTACTTTAGGCCTAATTTAATTTTTGTTTGTTTATTCTGCAAAGTCATTTCTTAAAATATCCTCTTCCAGGCATGCAAAGCCCTGTATTTTACATGAGGTGTTAGGAGGAAGACTGGCTTTTAGAGTCAGATCAGAGTTTGCATATGTGAAGTGTCCATATCTGTTCACTCACATATATATCCGCTCCCTTTTGTCTTTCCAAAGTAAGCCCTTCTCAGTATTCAGAAGTACCAGAATTTAAATACTGTATGGATTTGTTCCTGCATCTTAAAAGGAAACCTGCTTTAAGCGATCATTCTTAAGACCAAAAATAAATAAATCCATCATGTAGCAGTAGTTTTTAAATAACAACAATAAAAAAAAGGAAACACTTGATCAAAATGTTCCAGAAGATGGTGACTTCTACATAGCCATTAAAAAAAAAAAGAGTAGTTTTTCAAATCTCTCCAGCTATAACAAAATACAGAATATTATATGCTAATTCATCAGTATGCGCCATTGGTAGATGTATTTTTTTTCAACACTGAGTGCAGCATGTTACCTGTATTATCAATCTAGATCAAACAATAAGTAGTACTAGTTGCTGTTTTTACTGAAAAGTCGATAATCTGTGTGACCATCTTTCATGAAGAGAGAAAAATACAATTTTTTGAAACAGTAAATAAATTTTTATTTGTTCAACTTGTTGAACTTTATGTTTCAGGCTCATAAGTTGATTTATATTTTCCCCCTGAAAACAAGACAGCTAAGTTTTTGTCCCAGTTAAGTCATTAATTTAATTGTATAAAGCTGAATAATTAACTTGTTGAGCCTCTACTTCCTTGTCTGTAAAATGGGTTAATGAATACCCAATTTAGAGACAACTTTTGAGGAATAAGTTATATAATCAGTGTTAAGTAAGTAGAACCCTACCTGGCATAAAGTATATGCCCAACATATGTAGGTTGATGTTATTCGTTAGTTGTTGGTTAGTTAGCTCGTTAGTTATAAATAGCTACCTCTCTTCTACTGCCTTCCCTATTTCTGTCTTCCAATTTTGAAAAGGAAATAAAAATTTCACACTTTAAGGAAAGTAGAAGAATGTTTAATTCTGTTTCTTCTACCTAGAAACTTCACCTTGTCAGCACTGGAAGTAGTTTACCTAAATATTTCCTCCTCCTATTTTAGCAATAAAATACCTGCTTCAAAAAGGAGAGACCAGGTGCTCAAATAAGTATAGTATTCACTTAGAGAATTTCCCATGTTCACGTGATTATGAGACTATGGTAAATGTTATCAGATACGATGGATTTTTAAAAATTAATCAAGATAACAAAGTTGCATTTTTAAAAATGAGGGCCTGCTTGATCTGTATTGGACATCTTTAATTCATTCACGTAGTGATCGTGTGACCAAAGGAAGAGGTTCCTTTAAGCAGCAAAGGAAGAGCCATAGGCAAAGTAAATAGGAGCATTACCAAATACTGTCTTTTCTTTCTCTGGTATAATTTTTCTATTCTTGACTAATTCAACTCATCCATTGTATTTCCTAGAACTAATTTTTGTTGCATCAATGTATTCATAACCCCAGAATGAATCACTGACAGAACTTTAGCCATTATTTAACACGGTCAGATATTTCCAGCAATTTTTTTTATCCTGATTACTTAATACTTTCTGTGTCTGTTTTGTATTTTTCAAGTCCTCTTGGCAATTAGGTATTAGCTGTACAAGGTGACAGATCAGATTACCGCCAGTGGTAGACTATAGATTGAGTCAGATCTTGATCCTAGGATGTAGCCAATGAACCACACTGAGCAAGTGATTTTTCTGATGTGATTGGGTATCTGGCACTCGCAGACTCGTCTATCTGAGGCGGTTTGGTGTGACCTTGTCAGGAGACAGGGGGATAAAGCTAATGGTTTTTGAAGTTTCCCTCTGCCTTCTTGCCTCTCCTCTTTCCTTCCTTCAGTAAATATCTATTAAGGGCCTCCTGTGTGCTCAGTGCTTTGGCAAGAGCCGGGGGATGAATTAGACCTGATCCTGCCCTGAAGGGGTTTATAATCTAGCAGGGAGATAAAACAGGAGTAACTAGGATGCTTATGCTAAGTGGCATGAGAGATGTGTAAAGTGATAGGATAATTCATAAGGCAGAGTTTATTTTCAGTTTTTGGAATTAAATAAAACATGAATCTCTCAGAGGAGCTGATAAAAGCTATAGATCTTTCTTCAGAAAAATGTATCTCCTATTATGCATATAATTTCAAATGATTCATAGAACCACTTGAGGGGCGTGTGTATGGATATGTATGTGTATGCATATGTGTGTGGATTGTGTGTGTGTGTGCGTGTATTTGACTTGAGCCTTCAAGTTCAGATAGGGTTTGGATGGGAAGGAGAGAACAGCCCAAGGAAACTGGAAACCAGAAGCCAGGAAAGCACAAGCAGCAGAAAGGAACAGCCCTGTTCTGGTCTTACCTTCTGCCTTATTATACAAGAACCAATTTTCTGTCTAGTCACCTGCTAAACTTTAGGAGACATGCTAAAGATGTTCCACTTGGGTAACCACCCCACCCTTTTTTTCATCAATTATCTTTTCCATCTAATGAGAAGTGTTCTATTTTCTTTATGTATTTGTCTATGGGGAAAGCAATTTAAAAAATTGTGGCTTTGTGTAATTAATCCGTTGTTTATCTTTCCTACATACAGCTAAAACGGGGTTACCTTCCCAAGAAATTTTGCATGTAACTTTCTATCATCTCAGTCATTCATATGCAAGACGGAAAAGTACTGATTTTAGTAAGTTACTGTTTAATCAATGTAAATGACACTGCTGCCTAGTTGCTAAAGGTTATTATGCTGTCTTTTTCCATTATTGGAGTGTTTAGAGGTTCATATTCAGAATAAACAGAATGATACAACAGATAACCGAAGAAACTATCCACTTGCCATTGCATGTGAAATATACCTCAGCTTTCTCATCCGAAAAGTGGTCCTTGGGTAGCACAAATGGTTTCCATTTGACTACCAACCTAAATGGTTGTCTGTTCAAACCCCCCTGGCAATCTGCTTCTGTAAAGATTATAGCCAAGAAAACCTTATGGAGTATCTCTACACATGGGGTTGCCACGAGTCGAAATTGAGCCCAAACTGTTTTTGCCACCCAGGGACCTTGGATTAGAAATAAGGTCCATTTAAAGTCAACTCAGTTTCAGAAAATTCAAACTTGCAAAACAGGTTATTTGGGGAGCAGTTATTCACATAGAAAAGGTGATGTTTTAAATACAAGACAGTATTTGAATAAAAACAATGCTGCAGGTCCTTTAACTGTGCTCTTCTAAAACAGTAGTTTCAGTTTTCCAAATGTGGCGCCTGGACCAGCAGCATCAATAGCACCTGACAACTGTTAGAAATGCTAACTCTGGGCGTGGGAGTCCAGTAACTGGTGTTGTACCAAGCCCTCTAGGTGATTCAAATACATGTGAACATTTGAGAACCGCTGCACTTGGCTGCTAACCAAAAGGTCGGCGGTTCAAACCCATCAGCTGCTCTATGGGAGAAAGATATGGCAGTCTGTTTCCATAAAGATTTATAGCCTTGGAAACCCTATGGGGCAGCTCTACTCTGTCCTGCAGGGTTGCGATGAGTCAGACAACTTGACAGCAGCTAGGTTTGTTTTTTTTTTTGTTTGTTTTGTTTTTGTTTTTGATTAACACATTTCAAATTAAAACTAAACTTCATGGAGAATAGGGCAGTGTTAATTGCTGCCTGCAAAATATTATTATAACCATTTTCTTTAGAAGCAATATTTAAGAGATTAATCAATTACATAAAAGCAAGCACATCCCATAGCAGTGGAAGTCATTTAGTGACCAAGTGATTTATTAGTAATACCCACCTCATTGCCCTGCGTCCAACAGCAGGTGCACACTGCACAGATTCAGTATGAGCTGTGATACTTCACAATACTACCCCTGTCCCTTTATGCAGCTTTTTTTTTTAACTTCTCCCCTACTTCCATTATTTCATACTTCCAAAACTGGGCAAGAGGATAGGATAGAATAGGCAGAATTAACATTAAAGGGACCTTCTTTAATACTGTTTCTAAGAATTTATCCTAAGGAAATAACCATGCATGTGTTGAGGGTGGCTATAGAGTCACTGTGAGTTGGAATTGACTCACAGCAGTGGGTTACAAGAGCAAAAAAAAAAAAAAAAGGGGGGGGGGAATTCATAAATATCCAATAGCTGATGAAATGGTTCAAAATTAATGGAATACAGACAAAAGGAGATACTATGCAACCACTTAAAATGGTATGGAAAATCATAATATATTAAGTGGAAAAAACTTACAAAGTAGTACTTCTTTATGTAAAATGAAAAAAGCAGTTGCCATCAGGGTGATTCTGACTCATGGTGACCCACGTGTGTCGGAGTAGAACTGTGCTCCATAGAGTTTTCAATGGTTGATTTTCTGGAAGTACATCACCAGGCCTTTCTTCTGAGGCACCTTTGGATGGACTCAAACCTCCAACCTTTTGGTTAGCAGTCGAGTGTGTTAACCATTTGCACCATCCAGAGACTCCTAGAATAGATATTCGTACACACAAACATTTTACATGTTATCCAAAATATTAACAATGATTATTTCTGGAAAGTGAGGTTACAGGTAATTTTAATTTTCTTCTGTTTTATTGTGTGTATTTTCTATGTTTTCTACAATGGTTATCCTAACTTGATGTAAAATACCTAGCAAAACAAAGCATTAGATATGCTTTCATCTTCACCTTTGTTATTGACGATTAGGCAAGAAACCTAACACTGTATCAAAACATGATCTTGTCAGACAGACTTGTATACCAGTGTTCATTGCAGCACTGTTCACAATGCTCAGCAGGTGAAATAACCTTAATGCATCAACAGATGAATGGATGAATAAAATGTAGTACATACATACAATGGACTACTATTCAGCCAGTAGGAGAAATGAAGTCTGGATACATGCTACAATATGAATGGATCTGGAAGACATTATGCCGTGTAAAATAAGTCAATCACAAAAGGACAAATATTGCATGACCTCACTTGTATAAAAAGATAAGAAAAGGCAAATGTATAGAGAACAAAGTTCATTAGTGGTTACTGGGGTGGGAGGGAGGGAAAGGGAGGGCTAACAGTGACTGAAAAATTGCATTGATTAAGGGTAGGGTTGCACAGCCGATTATTGTAATTGCTGTCAGTAAGTTGTACACCTGTAAAAAGTTGAATTGGCAAAAGTTGTGTGGTAGATATATTTACAACAACGACAAAAAAAAAAAAAAGTGTTGCTGCTGCTTAGGTACAACCAAAAACCTCATGGGATTTGATTTCCTGGATTCAAGGTTTAGGGTCATGGTGTCAAGGGACATCCCAGTTAATTGGCCAAATAACATATTTAGTGCCTCTGTTCTACCTCCTAGTTCAGTGCCTAGTGCCTGGGGTCTCAATGGCTTGCAAGTGGCCATCCAAGACACAACAATTGGTCTCTATTCACCTGGAGCAACAGAGGAAGAAGGAGAGTCAGGAATAGGAGGAGGATATGGAATGTGTGGCTAATTGCCTCCATGAACAGTTGCCTCCTTTGCCATGAGACCAAAAGAACTGGATGGTGCCTGGCCACCATTAGTGAACATTTTTATTCAAAGATTCCATAGCAGAATCCTGATCAAAAGGGGGGAAATGCAAAACAGAATTTAACATTTTCATGGTCTCCAGACATCCTGGACCCATGAAGGTTGGATGAACCCCTGAAACTACTGCCCTGAGATAATCATTAAACCCTAAACCAGACATATCCCCTGAAGTCTTCTTAAAACCAAACAGTAGTTTAGCTTAAATAGTAAAAACATCCTCTGCCTTAAGCCTTATGCTCTTTTAAGAACTATCTCTATGGGATCAAATTGACAACAACTTGAAAGATTAGATGAGAACCTCAGGGGGCAGTGACTTTATGTTAATAGGGGAGGATCACCTCAAAAAGGAGAGTGGGAATGGTTGCACAACTCAGAGAACGTAATCACTGTCACTAAATGGTACATGTGGAAACTGTTGAATTGGTGTATGTTTTGCTGTGAATATTCTCAACAACAACAACAAAATAAATAAAATTATTAACAACAAACACATGCTGTTATTAGTGGATGCACATACTCAAAACATGATTTCCCAGACTTCAGATTTTTTTTAGGCTGGAGGAACTCAGTCAGCACTGCTATCATTTCCAGTTAACTCGGTTTCTTCCCCACCCTCAAGCTTGTCATCTTCCTGGAAACTCCCGATAGAGACTGACGTGGATATGAGTTTATGAACACAGGCAGAAGTACGTATCTTCAAATAGCACCAAACAAGTCTGTACCTGCTCCTGTTGTCAGTCCCCTAAATGGTGACAAGCTCTGCATGTGGCCTGGCTGCAGTTTTCACTAGCTGAGAAGTCCGTTTCGTGTCCATTTTGTGTTTTCTCCCCCAGAGGCTTGGAAATAGGACATGCAGTCAATTACTTTGCTAGTGGCCATTCAGAAGCCCTGGACTCCCTGCACATCAGAGAGGAGGGCAGAGCTGACCTTATCAGGGCCTTCCTGGCTCCTGCTCTTGCTCTTGGAGGCAAAGATATGCTGTGGAGAAACCAAACCATGATGTACCATTCGTTTAATTTAAAAGCCAGCTTCTGCCAGGAATTGGCTAGAAAAATAGCTGGAGTTGGTAAATGTTGTATTCTGTTTGTTTGAGTCCTGCAAGCCTGGTGGACACAGACTTCAATGGAACTTGCCAGGAAGAACTATGTTACCCCATAGAGGGGGCTTGTGGGGGTGGCTGTGAAAGACGCGGTCACCAGGTTCTGATGGGGAATGTTTGGAGTTTTGTAGGTTTCCTGGGGTCCTTTCCCTCAGCTCTACTGCCCCTTTGGCTTTCTATGCACAGCATTTGGACTGCCCTTCCTCACAGTGACCTGGTCCCATCTCCAGGACGACGGGGAGCATTAAGAAGGAACCACTTCCCCAGCTCAGTTCTATGAAGGAAGCTTTTTGGTTGGCTTCTCATCTTGCTGGAGCAGCAATGGGGAGCTCTTACGTAAATATCAATAAACGCTTAATCAAAGGTCAGTGAGGGGAGGGTGTGGAAATTAAAGGCTTTTTCTTTCCTAGCTTCACCATTCTGCACAATTCTAAATTCAGTTGTGGTGCTGTTAGGAGGACAGAGCTTGGGATCCGCTTACACAAGAATGTTAGAAACACTCCCTACTGTTGGGAGATGTGGATAGCGAAGGTCCAGCTCCTGGGGAAGCATACCGTGAGATGGAGTCCGTTAGGTGCCCTCGAGTCAGTGTCAACTCATACAGACTCCAGATGACAAAGTAGAACTGCCCCGTAGGGTTTCCTGGGCTGTAATCTTTACAGGAGCCGATCGCCAGGTCTTTCACAGAACTGCTGGGAAGGTTCGAACCACTAGCCTTTTGGTTAGCAGGTGAGCACCTAACCACTGAGCCATCAGGGCCCCCAGCAGGCAGTAAACAGATTAGGGAGTGTCCTCAGGCTCAACACCTGTGGAGAGTGAGGAGCGCAGGACTGGGCAGAGAAGGAAATTGATCTGCAATGCAGCCACCACCGAGGCCTCAACTGACAGTTTCTTTGGAGCGAGGCTAGCGCTACCATTGGGATGATAGCTCTACAGTTGGGATGTCTCCAGTTGGGATGAGAGGTCTGGGTCTTTATCACCCAGCACTGACCAGTCCTTGGATGCCGGCTACCCCTAAGACAACGGTG